TCAGATCTAGGATGTGTTATTTGAGTGTTCCCTTTATTTTTTTGAGCAGTTTATATAGATAGATAGATATTGAAGCCGTCACTGTGAAGCCGTTACGTGTGCGTGCATTCAGACACGAAGATGGTATTTTTGCAGTTAGTTATTTTCTCTAACTGCCCCTTTACAACAACAAAAAAATAATAATAATAAAATAAAATAAAACTTTGTCTATGAAACAGTATGTTTTACGAGAGAAGTGATTCAATGATAATAAAAAGAGCATGCTGAAACATGACAGGAAATAATCCGCCAGGGGGTTAATGGATATTTTCTTCTTCGCTGTTTGACTGGAGCAGGTCTGACGCCATATAAAACCGGGGGCTCTTATTTCTAGACTTTACGGCTCCAGACTTTAAGGGGGGAGATAGACGTGACCGCGGTGGAATAATTCAGGGCAAAGCCCATCTTCAGAAACGTTTCTGGCTCGCACTAAATCTGCAGGCATGTGTTTAAAACAACAATTCAGCTGTGAATGGGTTTTCTCTAAAGGAGGTGTGTGTGTGTGTGTGTGTGTGTGTGTGTGTGTGTGTGTGTGTGTGTGTGTGTGTGTGTGTGTGTTTTGTGGGCCTTTTGTTTTGGTTTTTCCTTCTTCAACTGAACCAATCCAGGAAAACGGTCAATGTTTACTGGTTGTATGTGTAACAGCCGAGGTGAGCATCACGTGAACTGATCGGTGACAGATGTTTAAAGTGGAATTATGCTAAAAATAAAAAATAAAAATAAAAAAAAACAAATATTCTGAACAGGAGGATCATAATAATCAACGTGGAATACAAAAATGTAGATTTTTTTTTTCTACTTAACGTAATTTTCTTATTTAATTAATAATTAATTATCCTAAGCCTTTGTAACCTTTCAGTACAAAATAAATTAATAAATAATGAAATACATAAATATAGATAGATAGATAGATAGATAGATAGATAGATAGATAGATAGATAGATAGATAGATAGATAGATAGATAGATAGATAGATAGATAGATAGATAGACAGACTATCTTTCATAAAACAAACTGACTCCCTTGCAGCCTCGCCTGTATTAGATCTGCATTAAATAAATGTCCCTCCAGGGTATTGTTGTTCAGCTCTGGCGGTTATACATCCAGTGTGTAGTAAAAGTTGTGGGCTATTGACACCATCATGGCATTTGCACCCACAATGTTACAGTTAAACTTTATACCACAACTGGCTTTGCTTTGGTATGCGCGGCAGTGAGACCGGGTGAAGCACAATGCAGGCCCAGATACTGGAAGTTTTAACAGTGAAGTCCAACAATGATGTTCAGAGCTGTAGAAAGGTAGAGAGTTCCTCCTCGACTAGAGATTGTTTTGGGTCTTTCACTCTTACTTCCTACAGGCGCCTCTCCAGCCCCTCATTTTTACAGTGCTGTAAAAGTGGCTGTAAAACGATGCATTGTGCGCCGTTATTGGGGACAGCTTTCAGCAACTAACTTGTTAACCTCGGGGTTCTGGTTACTTGGAAGGCGTCGCAGTCCTCGGTAATCATTTGCGAATTATCGTGATATTTCTTTCTTCTTTTTTTCCTTTTTTTTCTTCCCACAGCTAAAATGCAGCACAGGTATCTTTAAGAGTTTTCTCTTTACTTGGACTAAAACAAAATATACGACACATTAGAGTTGGCTGCTCGGTCTGGGAGGAGTCTGCAGTCGGCTGGTGTTTTAATTGGCTGCAGTCTTCAGTGAGAAGCGTGAGTATCAGTAATTATTCAGCAATGTTTTTGTACAAGAAATGTCAGCCAGAGAGGGCCATCTTCATCCGCCGCCAAATAACAGCGCGACGATGTCATGTTCCAACAACCAGGCTGGGAACTCCTTCTTCGTGGACTCCTTAATAAACGTGAGAAGCGACGGCGCTCCGTATTACCAAAGTAACAGTCTGTATTTGCCACCGGCTTCGGAATATTCATATGGGATCTCCAGCGGCTCCTGTTTCCCGGCAGTCGGGAAGCGCAGCGAGCCAGCGACCCACAGCGTGATTCCGTCCTCGGGTCCGTATGTTCAGGGGATGGAAACGTGGCTGGAAACGTCCAGGTCCTGCCGAGTGGATCAACCCTGCAGCGGGCACCATTTGGCTCAGTGTTCGTTTTCGCCGAGCATAAAGGAGGAGAGCGCCTGCTGCCTTTACGAGACAGACAAATGTCCTAAAGGAGCGTCAGCGGATGACATATCCTACTCTGCCGCGTCCTGCCCCGTTACCCCCGGCAACACCGTGCCAGTCCCGGGTTACTTCCGCCTGTCTCAAACCTACGCGTCCTCCAGGTTATATCACGATGTTCAGCCAGACATGAATCACTTCAGTCTGCAGCGACCCAGCCGCTTTGAAGGCCAGCCCTCACAGCCGCAGTCCGCCTCTGCGGAGCCGGAGCGCGGGGAGAGTCACGAGGAGGCGCCCGGCTCTGCGCCGTGCGCTCCGGCCAGGGAGGAGGAGGACACCCGCCTCTCCTCGGAGAGCTCGTCTTCCACTGAGCCTGCAGAGACGGAGTGTCCAGACAAGTCCGTAAAAGGTGAAAACTTGAGAAGCTGCTGCAGAATGACGCAAAAAAAAAAAAAAGATAAACCTTCAGAGGACCGTGTTTTTTTTTTCTTTTCTTTTTTTCTTTAAGTGGGCGGTTATTGTTTTACGGCCAATTAAGGTTTCGGATGTATGATAGAGGAGTAGTTTCAGCTTTAGCTGAAACAGGAACTCTCATGTCTGTGTTTGTTTGGGCTGAGACAAATTTGACCATGACTTGGCCAATCACAGCCTAGGATTGGATCTATTGTGCCTGTTTGGCTGTATTTAAAATGGAACCAGGCCTCAGCTAGTTGCGCCTTTGTGTGGCATCATTGCTTTTTCATTTGTTTTTATTGGCACAATCCCTGACCTCAGTAACTGAGCGAGGAAATCATTAATTTAAAACGTTGCATTGACGAGTAATGAACAGGAAAGTTTGGCTCACGGTGTTCATACCTAATTTATGCACTGTAAACACATTTCATTTGTTTTAACAGTGAAATTGCTGCATATTCACAACGGTTTTTGTCGTTAAAGGGACGAACAGTACGTCACTGTGGTATATTCTCATCACCTTTATGACCTGCTTGCATCATTTTGTTTCAGGTTCACCAGGCTTTATAGAAACATTTTTGAGATACTATCGCAATACTAAAAGGGATAAACAGTCAGAACTCAGTTACATTCAATTCATTTAATTTATATTGCTTAATTTCACAACTGATGTAACTGTGTGGCACTTGCAGCACAGAAAAGTTCAATCTGTAAGTATATGAAGTTGAAACTATCCAATATTATCCAACCATACTGACAATCTCAGATTCATTTACACACACACTCCAACTTGATCTTAGACTGCATTGGAGTCAAATTCAGTTTCTAATGGTAACTGCTATAAAACTGTCCATAAGGAAGCCCAGTCAACCGAATTGATCTTTAAATAAAGCAGACTACCTTCTTGACTGAAGTAGAAAAGAAATTGTACGGATTGTTATTCTTGAATTTACCTGAGCGGAAAGACAACATTTCTCCCCTGGTAAATGGATTAGATTGAACTGTAAGATAAATTACAGCAATAGCTCTGAGCATGTCTGGGATTTTCTTTATTATTTCTAGTTTAAACTAACATGATTTTCCTGTCTGTAGTCACAGAGTACTGACACCACGTTGTGCTTCAGTTTAACCTTAATTTTACTGCAAAATGAAAATAGGAGAGCAACTGTAGTTCGGTGCTGTACAACAACAAAGAATCAATCAATGTTTTTGTTGCCTAAACAGTCAAGGTAGTGCATTCGCAACGCTTCTTACTGCTGAGACAACGTACAGTCTGTCACTGATCTGCACATATATCATCTATTGTAGATTTGCAATGCATTCTGATATTAAAAGCTCTACGTTGTAATAAATACAATAAACATTCACCAAAATTAAAAACAGCAAGCCGTCCCTCATGAAATGAAACGGGCTACATAAAGCAATAATTTTGATTGATTATGATTCCTTAATTTTAACGCGAGCTAAAGACATTCCTTCCTGTAATAAAAATCATGAAAGGTAACTGATCATTTAATTTATATGGTAATTTATCAACTGTACATTTCACAGGTGTTACAGTTGAACCCTTTAACTGATAATTGTGCCGTAGCAGGGACTTTATTTATTTATTTATTTATTTATTTATTTATTTATTGTTATTTTAGCTATAAGAAATGAAGTTGTCTATCAAAAAATTTACAATAAATTTTAGACAATTTATTACATTTTGAGAGATGTGTACCCAGTATAAATGAACGGCTGAACTGGAAACATGTTTGGCTTTCGTCACACCTGTGCGTAAAATTGCCATGAAAACCAAACAAACAAACTTAGTGTAATAGTTTTGGTTTTCGTTTTTTCTTTTACTCCAATTCTAGCATTTATTACTCCGACATTAACTCTCACGTGATCTCAAGCAATTCAGTGTTTATGTTTACTTGTAATTTCCACAACACACACCTTGTCTTTTATGATACTTGTTGCCTCTAGTAACACTGCGATACATTTCCCCGCCGTTGCAGGAGATGGCAAAATGGAGAGCACGGCCAACTGGCTGACAGCAAAGAGCGGCAGAAAGAAGCGGTGTCCCTACACCAAGCACCAGACTCTGGAGCTGGAGAAGGAGTTCCTCTTCAACATGTACTTGACACGGGAGCGTCGCCTGGAGATCAGCCGCAGCGTGCACCTCACCGACAGGCAAGTCAAAATCTGGTTCCAGAACCGGAGGATGAAACTGAAAAAGATGAGCCGTGAAAACAGGATCCGGGAGCTCTCCAGCAACTTTGGGTTTTCGTGAGACTTTGATGAGAAACGCCCTCTTCCTGTTCCTCCTTTCCACCTCCTCCTCCTTGTCCTCCTCCACCCAAACTGTGAGAGTGCCCTTGGAGAAACAAGGACCCAACTGCTAACTTATTGATCAGAGCTTTTCTTGTCGTGGATTTGTATTTATACATGGTCACATTTGATCCATCCAGTTGTTCAGGCTTGTACATAATTATGCGCTCAATCTGAGTGATCCATTGGATTTTGCATGCTGGACTGACCACTGGCTCATCTGTGTTACAGTTACATGTAGGCCTTAATGTGATGACTGAAAAAGACAAAACAAAACAGAAAAAATACAAGCGGTCTGGTGAATATTTGCAAATTAGCTGCTCAGATGAATAAAAAGAATATTACCGCACAAAACCACAGGCTTTGTGCGTTGTTGTAAATGTTTATTTCGTGCAGTATTTTCTTTATTATTATTATTATTATTATTATTATTATTATTATTATTATTATTATTATTATTATTATTATTATTATTATTATTTGTTTTACCTTTGCCTAATTTTGACCAGTCCTGATTTAGCAACATCAAATATGTTAAATGTAACTTTTTTTTTCAGCTCACAGGCTAAAGAAAAACGTCGAAACCAAGGCTTTATTAGCGATGTGTCTCACCACTAACAGCTTTTAAAGCGAGTTTAGGCAAGCATCACCGTCGACATACGACCACACTTACAGGTAGTTTAGACGGACGGGAGCTCCGGCTTTTCCATGTAATTTGGGCGCTATTTTACTGGGAGAGGAAACTTTTTGTCCAGAGTTAACGATTAAAATAACAGCAGCATCTCATGGAGGTTAACCAGTAATGACGATAAATGTTCCAACGAGGGGAGAGGGGGGAGTGCGAAGATGCCTGGAGATCCCTCAGCAACAAACTGTGTTCAACTCACTGATGTTTTGTGGAATTCCTTCAGGTTAGGTGGTTATTTAACTCCAACAAGTTTTCAACAACATTTTGACGTCATTACGCACTCCTATGTTGACTAGACTACTTTTGAGCTTCACTTTTCAGTTATGACGTACGTTGCCTAAGCAGAAGGAATCATCACCTTTTCCGTGTCTATCCAACTCCAACACTTATTCTGCAATGGCTGCATGTGGCTATGTCTGGGTTGTTTTGATATCTTATCTATTTATTTATCTGGTTGTTGGATGTCTTGAAATCATAAACTACTTGATGGACAACAATAGCCCACAATGATCTATGCGCGTAACCGCAGACTGAGTCTTTTTTTATTATTTCTGAAATCGCGCTTTTTAAAATATATAAAATAAATGTATGTGCATGGGTTACTTCTCTAGCAACATACGGATAAAAACATACTTTCACTCTTAAAATTATACAGGGAAAAAAAAACACCAATCGCTTTGCAGGAGAGCAGGCTGTTGCGTGGTTTAGGTAGTCTCATGTTGTTGGGCTATTTATTTTATGTTCCCACAACACGAAACTGCCTTGATTACCTCAGTGAAATTCGTCTTATAATTAAAAGCGAACCACGTTGGATTAATGTTCATTAATAATTTGGCACGAAGTGCATTGGCTCTTTAAAGCTGCAGTTCAAAAGCATTGCGCTGGGGAGGGCATTTATCTGTGCGTAAAATACAACAAACAAACATGGGAATTCTGTTGTTTCTGCAGGTTTTCAAAAATACAATCAGCTTGACAGGAAAATCACATTAAGAATTCATTTTTAAATTATAGACTGTAGTAATAAATAAATAAAAAAATCCAATCGTTTTAAATTATTTTTTTCTACGTCTAGTAGAAAAGTGTGGACAGACAAGGCCTCGGTTATGATCACTGCAGTCTCGCCAGTTGCTTTAGAAAAAAAAAAAAAATGCCGGATGCGTCTGCTCGTACCGTGCAGAGAAAGAAGACAAAGGCTGAGCTTTATTGGTGATATTTAGCTTAGACAGCCCGGCTGTAACCTGAAGAAAAACAACCCAATTGCCCGTGATAAAATGAACCGTTATATGGCACCCAAATAACTCCAGCCCCGCTTGGAATGCCTTCAAAGACAGCTTGGTTATCTCTTGGAAACTTTCCTCTAGGTTGTTTACAATATATTAAATCTAATCACATATTTCATAGGGGGTTTTTCTTAAAGAAGGTAACAATAAAAGGTAGGAGCACCATTACATTTGAGATGTTCTAAAATTTCATTTTAAAGTCTAGCAAATTTTCACTTCTGTATATTTTCAAAAGTAGCAAACAGATCGATTTTGTTTTTCAAACAGAAGCTTTGAAGATCCAATAACCTTGTTCATATATATATATATATATATATACACACACACACACACACAGAGACACACAGATGTCCTCTGTTACACTAAAACGAGATCCCTTGACTAAAATCACAACATTTATTGCTTATAAAAGGAAATATTTGCCAATAAAACAACGAACATTTGCTATTAAAATATGGTGAGTGAAAATGGTGGCCCTTTTTTAAGCAGAGCGGTATACAGGCTGATTTATTATTTATTGTTCTGTCCCACGGTCACGTGTTTTGGGGCGCCCTATCCAGTTTTGGACAGGGTTCAACTTACTGGACGGAAGGAGCTTGTAGGTGGCGCACCAACACGACACCTTGCAATGGAATGAATCCCTTCTCTCGTCGTTGCAGGATTGTAAAACCAAGGTTTTTTGTTGTTGGGTTTTTTTTTGTACACCCTTTTTTTAATTTGGTACCTTGCATATTTTTTTTTCTTTACTCTGGTGCAATGGGGACGAGCTACTACGTTGACACGCGCATTCTTTCGGAGCAAGAAGAAATGGCACCGATGAGGTACTCAACCTCTGCAGGAATGGAGCAGGCGGCGCACACCGAATATGGCGGACAGGAGCCGAAATCCTCTATTTTCAGTGGATCCTGGAGCACCATCGCGGCGCATCCTCCCAACGCATATGTGCACCATCAGTACAGCGGGGAAGCCGATGGCATGCTTGCGCGTTCCTGGGCGTTGGACCCGGTCTCCGCGTCGTTGTGTTTGACGGGAATCCCGTCTGCGGCCGCGCATTACGAGATAAAGCCCGAGCCGCTGCTCGGCGGTGCCGAGTGCACGACTCTGGAGACGCACGCACCGCTTTTGTCTAACATTGAAAACGGAGCTGCCCTAACGGAGATTCCCTGCGATACATCCCCCACATCTGCAGCCAGCGACGACAAGCTGACGGCAGAGAAAAGGGAGGCTGTTGATGCAAGTAAGCAACGCAACGCTTTCCTTACTGATGCAAGTGCGTGGCCTAATAAGTCAGGTGGATGTGGGAAATGTGCCTATTTTTTTTTCTTTTTTTTTTTGACAAATATAGGAGGGTCTTAATCTGAGGCATAAATCCTGTGCAGGATGGCCTAGGGTGGGGGGGGGAGGGGGAGGATGGTGGAAACTTTTGCTTAAATGTTGGCTTCTCTGTGTTTGATTCAAAATAGAACTAAAAACAACCATGAAATATTGAAAGAACCCTATCATTGTTCAGTATTGATATTTCCCTCATGGTGATGTCTTCCTCCAGACAACCCGTCGTCCAACTGGCTGCACGCAAAGCCGACCAGGAAAAAGCGCTGCCCCTACACCAAGCACCAAATCCTCGAACTGGAGAAAGAGTTTCTCTTCAACATGTACCTCCCCCGGGAGCGCAGGTATGAAGTGGCGAGGCTCCTGAATCTGACAGAGAGGCAGGTGAAAATCTGGTTCCAGAACCGCAGAATGAAGATGAAGAAGGAAACCAGAGACAGAAGGAAAGACAGCTAGTGCCCCCTTTGCGTTTAAACCTGGTGGAGGGGGATGGAAGAGGGGCGGAGAGGGGAGACTTATAATTCCTGGTACGTGTTGTTGTAAATTAGTGTTGTTAAAACAACGCTGAGTGTCCATTCCCCCCCTTCCCCCCGCCCCCCCAATGATTTTCTGTGATTGTGTCTCGTGGTGGATTTAGATATCTTGTATTTTTATTTTTATTTTTGCGCACACAGTGTGTTGACTCTGTAGGCCGTTTATGATTTGCATGAACCTTTACTTGACTACCTAGCCTATCGATATCCTTCAGCTACCTATCTGCATTGATTAACTTATTTTATTTTATTTTATTTTATTTTATTTTATTTTATTGCGGCCAATTGTGTTTTAAATGTTTGGATGCATTTGTGAAAACCCTGCGCACACTTGAAATACCTCACATGTACTGATTTTATTTAAAAATAAAGTGCAGTTTGTATCATACATTTGGACGTGTTATGTCACAGTGATTCGTTTTCATTTGAATGAAGTACAATGCACCATGTTTTTGCACATGTGTAATAAAAACAATACGCTGCAGTGTGGGCTAGAGTCGGCCAAAAATAAAACACGCATTCAAAAGGTGTTTCTCCGTTTTTGAATTTGGTTCCAACTGACTAAAGGTTTAATTTCAAAAGCTAGAAGTTATTTCAACTAGGAGCGCGGGGGAGGGAGGTAATTTAGGTGGAAAAAAAATGCAAAAAGACACTTTGATATCAGTTTATTGTAGTCTTCTGGAATTAAATCGTAAAACGAGTAAAAAAAACCCGCAGTTTTATTTTTATTTAATGTAAGAAACTGACTTGAAAGATAAGAACGTTAGTAATGATTATGGGCTGTAATAAAATTATTAGGATTTATCCTATAACGATCCCATTTACTTTTTACATTTTATTGCTATTATTATTATCATTTTTATTGTTTTGTTTGCTTTTAAAGTTTTGCAATCAAAATGCATTTATTTTGACTTGTTAGCGTGAATTGACAGAAGTATTTATCGCGCTCATTTCAGGGCAATTATTGCAAAGCTGATGGAAATGATCTGACTAAAACATGTTCAATAAGTTTCTGAATATTTACATTTTTGGGACTGCGATTTTTCTTTGTTTCTATTTTTCTTTGTTTTATTTTATTTTATTCATATTCAAACCGGTAAGAAGGGCCAGAAGCACTGTTAGCAATTTGGTAAAGTTATGAGGGAAGTTTAGGGTACTGACAATGGGACTCTGTCTAATGACATTTTTTAAAAAACATTTTAACTTAGTTTTACAATCTTTGTTGGGATTTCCTGTTCAGTTAAACCTTGAAAATGTTTTTTTTTTTTTTAAGTATCTTGCGACTGTTACTAGCCAAAGAAATTCCTTCAAATAAAGGTGAATGGATTTTAGATTGGTAAAACACAATAATGAAAACAGTATAACATTAAGCTCGTCACAGTTATTTTCTGATTCACGTCATCCATGCAGGCTTTTCTGGAATGCGTGCTCCCTTTTCGCTCTGTGAACTGTAGCTGCCTTCTCCAACCATCACAACCTGACTGTTTATAAGGTGCGAAAATAGTGCAGCATGCAGAGGCTCACTGGCAGCCGCCAGGCAGCATTTCTGACTTGCTTCCAGCAAACAAATCTGGGATACTGTTAGAATGAAGCAGAGGGCACCAACAAAGACCCTCACAGAGAACGGGGTGCTGGGTGCCGCGGTCGGGACTGCATTTGGGTCTGCCTTCAAAGGTGTAATGACTTTACAACCGTCCAGTCGCAATTCTGCTGTCTCGGCACAGAGACATCCGTTTGCTGTTTGTCTTTTTATTTCTATATTTATTTTAAGGAGAGCTCTCTGTTGGAAAAAAAAAGGCGGGGAGGAGTGTGGGGGCGAAAAATAACTTTCTACTTCCCGGAAGAACGTTTAAGTGTATATTACCTCATCTAAGTAAAGTGGAAATGACCAACCCAACCTGAACAGTGGCACTGATGGAGCTAATTAGGCTTAGTAGAGTCCAAGACTGATACTTTGTGATGATGTAGTCAAGGCTTTGTGCTCACTTGAGCGCTGGTTCGCTCATACAACCAGCAGGGGGAACCAAAGCCTAATTTGGAGGACCAGAGCAGATGATGCGTTCAAGGCACACGAGCGTTGCTCCTGTTGGAGTGCAGAGCTCCGCTTGGAGTCACCAGCGTAACGAATCACAAACTGTGTTCTGGGATTTTTCTCATTTATGTCAACGTCAATGTTTGATATTAAAGATGCGGTATTAAGCTATTTCCGGGTAAATAGCGCCATGCGACAGCACATTCGAGTTACCTTCAGCTTTAAAAATGCTACCTGTATAAAACATACAGCTTAAAAAAATATAACTTTACAAATTGATGCCTTGAAATTAGACTCTCTCTATTTAAGAAGCCCCTGGTCTTTCTGATACTGCCTTTGTTTACAACTGTTCTTAGGAGTGTTGGTCTGAGAAGTAGTTTGTATGATGAGCTCAGCAGACTGGCAGTTCCATCTGGTGTTTGCTATTTGCTGCTGCCGCTATAGTCTGGTGGAGCTGAGTTGGGAAGGCACAGGGGAGGGGTGCTCGGCGATAATGCACAGAGTGATAATGCAGCTTGAAGGAGGAGCTATGTGAAAATAGGCGGGGCTATGCATGAGCAAGTATTTAGACATCACTACCATAGGAGGTCCAATGATTTCTCAAACATGCATGAAAGAGTCAACGCAACATTCCAGGTACAGTATACTTCGACTGAGGGAATAACATTATGATGTGATGGAAAACAAGCAAATAAACAAAAAACCTCCATGAATGACAGCTGATAGTAAATCAGCTTTAAAATAGAAATAAAAACGGGCATAATATGTCCAGTTTATTCAACTCACCATCTCAACAGTATTTTACTACAGTATTTGTAATCCAAAAAAAGTAACATTTTCGCTCCCTTTCGGGCGTAAATCGCTTACTCTCATGCTTTTCGCTCCTCGCCCCTATAACTCACAGAGCAAAAGGCCATGTGACACATTCATTCTATAATTCCTTTGTCTTGGACACTGATGGGGATATCTTAACGAGAGCTGATATTCATATATGTGCCAAAAACCATAAATAACACTCCGCCTTCCGGAGCTCGCTTGTTGTTTTGTGCGGAAATGCCATTCCTGTCGCCTGATCTTCTCCGCCAATGCTGGGAACTGGACAGTCTCACGAGCAAACACCAATGTGAGAAGCAGCGCTGCAGAAAAACAGAAAGTTGCTAAGAAGTTTTTTTTTTCTTTTCTTTTTTTCAGCGACCTTTTACCACCTCCCCCTATTCATCACACCTCACGACACCAGCAGTGACAGATGAGCCCCTTTAGGAAGGGGTGGGGGTGGGGGTGCGAGTCCAGGAGGAGGAAAAGTTGAACACATTTATCCCCTTCCAGTCTCACTGTCAGCAGTCTGTTAGTCTGGGATGAGAAGTGTGAGTTTATACTTCTCATCGAGAGCTGATATTCATATATGTGCCATTCATATATGTTGCACTATTTATTGACAATAAATAATGCGAGATTTATCCCTAAAGTTTCTGTTTTTACCATCCAGACTAATATTGTTATGGAGCTGAGATTATTTTTGAAGATCTTACACAACAATAACAACAACAAGATGATCAATAACTACTAATAGTTCTTATTAGCACTGAGAGTATTGGTGCTAATCTAATAATCCTAAAATATCTTAAAAAAAATACATATTCACTGTTTTCTCGGTCGGAGTTATAGGATTTCTGTGTAGATTTTGGCACGGAGGGATAGAATAACACTTGACATTGCACTTTTAATTCAAACCTGTTAGTTGTGTCGTTTTAACAAATATGATTGGCTAAAGTTGAAAATACGCACAACTGACACGTAAATGCGTCCAAAACGTGGCGTTGCAACATTTACAGTATATATATATATATATATATATATATATATATATATATATATATATATATATATATATATATATATATATAAAGTCATTATTTCGTTTCAAAACTTTAGTATTGTTATCCAAGTCAGAACAATGAAATGTACAAACCCATTTTCCCCCCGAAGCTCCAGACACCAAAAGCTCTAATATAAAAATCCTCTCATAAACACTGTTATGATTTCGACACACATTTGCACACGCTTGGCAGCGTATGTACTTTCCAGAAGGATAATGTGCGCCTTGAGTTTATGTGTATTTTTCTCCCCACCAATTTTATTTTATTTCAATGGGAAGAACATGATAACATGATTTATGTAAAGACCTCCGACCGTTTTGCAAAAAAAAACCTAAAAAAAAAAAAAACACGTAATAAACACTTCAGTCTTCTCACTGTATTACATTAGTTATTGAAAATATTTACCCATCAATCTATCGCACATGTTTATGTAAGAGATGTTACAGATGAGTGCATATTTCTTATGAAATTAATCATTTTTGCAAACATTAAAAACACAGACGCACGCTCGTGCCATTTCAGATTTATTGTTTTTTATTACTTAGAATGAAAGTAACATCTGCGTCTGGACGATGGCTGAAATATTATCGCTTTAAAAGACTCTCTGTCCGTGTGGATGCGTGGCTGCAGGTTTTTTTTTTGTTTTTTTTGGCCTCTTTGCCTCCCAGATGTCTCCAGAGCAGACGGGAAACGAGGCGCTCCCTGGTCCGCCCGGAAAACGTCTGTAAGTGTTCACAACAGAGAGAAAAAGATGAGGATTACACTGCCTTTAAAGACTCAGAAACAAATAAACGGATTATGTTTCAGCATTAAAACCTAAACATGAATATATACTGTGTAGAGAATATACATTTATTTTCTCCAGTTCTCCAGTATTTTCTCCAGTGATTCTATTCTATTCTATTCTAGGAATAGTTTGCGGTATAAATCATTTTGTATTTCAGAGCTTGAATCAAATATAGATTGAATGCAAAAATATTTTTGGGACCCCCTGTTCACTCCCCTCCGCCAACCTCACTTCACCCCCACGCACACATTTTTTCTAAATGAAGTGAGATGGGGAAAAAAAAGAAGAAGATACATTTAGTTTCGCTTAATAGTGAGATTTTAAAATGCAGCTATTAGAAATGTGTTTTGTTATTTTTACTTCCATTATACCTCAGTTTCTAGGTTATAATATCTAGCTTCGTATGTCGGTCAAATATTCAGAATGCTAATTTTCAAACAACTGCTCATTTTTTAAGTGTCCATTTGTACACATGTAAACTAGTTCAGGAGGGAAAACGTTCCGCTGAAGTCAAACCATCAAAAACAAAAGATCTGCTCTCAGCACTCACCTCAGCGAACAACTGATCCTTAATAAAAATTTAAAAAAATTAAAAAAGCTGCTCCGTTCCTTGCAAGAAACATTTGACAGTCCAGTTATCAACATTTATTTTTTTTTAAATAATTCCCGTATTTTGTAATCGACAAAAGAGGGTTTTATCTCTCTAAATCGCACGTGGATTCCAAATATAAAGTTTTGTAATTTCTCGATAAAAGTCTTTGATCTTTAAGAGAAACTAAAATAAAGCCAGAGCCCCAGAGCCAGCGAGGCTGCGCTCTTCCTGGCACCAATATGATCTAAGGAGTGTTGGATGGTTCAGATGTGTTCTCTGGCAGAGAGCTGTCAGACCTTTTTGGCTGGAAAGATTGATCACGCTCAGGCTACCCGGGCTCTTTGTTTGGAGGCAGAGCAAGCCTTCCAATCCATGCATCTTTCCTGCTGCAGCATTGCAGTGACAAACCTTTGCAGCTCCCGCTCTCTGCGTTTAAGAACCGGTAGTATCGCGGGGAGCAGGAGGCTCAGGTCAACATCATCACTGGATCACTGTCGGATGAAGAATATTTAGGTAGAGGAAGTAAATTACAACAGCAGACAACGACATTTCAAGAAGACTTTGATCTCGAGATGTTAACTCTAATCACACATGACATCAACACTGCATCGAATTATGAAATCAGAAATCTCGCCAAAGCTATTAACAGTAGATTTTCTGCGCCTCAGCTTCTGTTAGTGTTGGGGGAGGGGTGGGACATGTCCTTTCATGTGTCTGCACCGTTTTCCCCCTTCAGGAAAGACTGAAGATGAGCGCCTTATTCACTCACAGAGACTGTGTCAGTATCCCAAACGCTTGATGATTTAAGGGTCACGTTGGAAAAATAATTCACCTTTCAGGAAAACACATTATGAGATGCGTAATTTGCGCAGACGTGCCAAATACGCTCGGCCTGTGGCCAGGGGCGTTTCCAGAAAGTTTCATAAGCGGTGGCCACTAAAACGCACGGGAAGACAACCCCAAAGCAATAACAGCATATAAAGTATGCTGATCCAGTATGTTAGAACATGTTATTTTGTCCCACTAAAAAGAAGTGTCCACGTTTAGAAAATACTGTAATATTACAAAATGTTTGACCTAAATATTTGGTCCTGGTATCATTTGAGAATGGGGTCAGAAAATTCACATTGAAGAAATGATGGGGAAAACGCTTATAAGGTAAGGTAAGGTAAGGTAATATATACATGTGTAGTATGTCTTATACGTAACATATTATTTTTTCATGTTATTAAAAACTATAAGTAAATGCAGTCAACATAATAAAGTGTTGTGAATCAAAGCTTGGCATGTCATTTCCTGAAAAATATGTGATGAAGACAAAGCACATTAAACTATCTTACTTAACAGCCCAGTAAATTTATTTCTCAAAAAAAAAAAAAACTGTTAAAATTGTCTTTGACTAACTAAAATAACTGATACATAATAAAAATGTTTTTATGTTTTGCAGAATTGATTCATAATCGGGGGGGGGTGGGGGTGGGGGGTAGCTTGCCCCCTGAGCACCATTAATTCAACCTTCTCTGCCTGTGCTGGTATGTGTTTCGGGGGCGTTGAAAGGGAGTAATTTGGAGGGAGAGGAGCAACGGCGAACAAACAGACCCCCATCCCTCCCACCCCCCTTCCAAAAGAAAAGTGTAAATAAAACCCCAGAATGAGGCGGTCCCCTTCAGACCTTCACTTGATAAAAAGAAAAAAGAAAAAAAAACACCTAAATTGTCATTGGGCAGAAGCAATCATGTGACAAGCGGAACGCTCTAATTCCAAGCATGTCTCCCATGGAAGCATTACTCCATGGCGCAGAGGTCTCCACACGATTGTTAGAATAAACCGCGTTTTAATTCCCGATCGCCTGTTTTTACGCAGAACCTGGGCGCTTGTTCCACAACGAGGAGCTGGAGGAGGAGATGAATTACGAATTCGGGCGAGAGAGCGGTTTCATCAACAGCCGGCCTTCGCTCGCTGAGTGCCTGACATCTCTCGCTAACCCCGTCGGTGATGCGTTTGAAAGTCCATCAATCAAGGGCTCGACACTGATTCCTCCTTCCCCCTTCGAGCAGACCATCGGCGGCTCGAAGCCCAGCGTCCACCCACGCTGCAAGCGGGCTCTGAAAGGCTGCGGTCCGCTGCGGGGTGCGTGCCTGCCCACGGAGTACCCGTGGATGAAGGAGAAGAAAAGCGTCAAGAGGAGCCAGACTACCGCTTCTTCAGCCGCTGCCGCAGCATCTGACCTCTCTCCCCAAGGCAAGACGGAACTGATTAATAACTTCCCTCCTAAAAAAAGGCTCCTCGTTGTCTCCGCATGGAGCTGCTGCGTGCATCATGGGCATCCCCTGCAGCCGCAACACAGTTTTTGATTTAGGATTGTGAAATCCCATCAGAAAGAGCACTGACTTGTGATGCAGCGTCTGAGCGCTAATGTTTGACAGTAATAGAGAGTGATAGATTACTCTTACACGGGCCAGCAACTGGTTAATCTTCACCCTGCGTCCTGTCCTGTCCACGCAGACCCATCATATTCAGCCCATAAATCTTCCAGGCTCTGCAAGTTTCCGCCAATGCACTGAGTGTTTTGTCATGTATCTGAACATGTTGTGCTTTTTTTCCCCCCTTTTAGATTCTCCTGAGAGACCAGAGACTCCTGCTGCTGCTGCTGTTCCCGCTGAGTTTGTAGGGACATCCAGGAGGCTGAGGACCGCGTACACCAATACCCAACTCCTGGAGCTGGAGAAGGAGTTTCATTTTAACAAATACCTCTGCAGACCCAGGCGGGTAGAGATATCAGCGCTGTTGGATTTAACGGAGAAGCAGGTGAAAGTGTGGTTTCAGAACAGGCGAATGAAGCACAAAAGGCAGACCCACTGCAAGGAGAACAGGGACAGCGATGGCAAGTATTCTGCGGGACTTGGAGACGAGTTGGAGCCGGCAGAGGAGAGCGGCGAGGACTGCGCGCTCCTGCAGAAGGAGCGGTCCGGCTTCCGCCAACACACGCTGACTTCACAACGGTGCCAAAACGGACACAATGGCGAGGACCACGGCCCTCCGAGCTGCACTGAGAAAAATCTAAAGCATCTTAGCAGCCCAGCACCCATCTGCGTGTCAACAATAGGCCCGGACAATGGTCAGTCCGCCGGCCTGGACGCCTCTATGCAGGATTACATTTTCTCCTCATCGGCCTCTTTCTCATTGGATTCATCACAGAGTCCGCTGCCTTTATCATCTGAAACTTTTGACCTTTTGTCAGAGACACTCACAACAATGGACCTGCACAATCTCAGCTACTGAAATATGTTACTTTAAAAAAAAAAAAAAAAAAAAAAAATATATATATATATATATATATATATATATATATATATATATATATATATATATATATATATATATATATATATATATATATAACTGAATAAATGAATTTATTCAGTTTTTCGTGTGTGTGGGAGATAAAAAAAAAGATCTCGCAGAAAGGTGAGTTAATGGAAATTTTTCAACACAGGCCACATTCTGGTTTATTCTTATATGGATCTCAGATTATTATATTTCTTGAAATAAACTTTTACAATTATCGGGAATATAACACGTTTGTCTTATTTCACCGAGTTGACTTTTGCAGAAAATGCGTTTCTAATTAAAATCAAAATAAAAAATGCGTGGCAAATAAAAAGAGAACAATAACGAGAGTTGTAGAGTAAATTTTTATGAACAGATTAAAAAATATATAGTAACACTAATAATGCAAACTAAATATAAGTGGCAAAGCTAAGCTAAGTTTTATAATACTTCAAATGAATTTCAGCGACTTTTCATGTGGAGTTGTTAACTTAGCCCCACAGCGGTAACGGTCTTAATTTCTTGACAAAACTGAAATAATAAGATTAAATTAAACTAAACTAGAGTAAATAAATTGAGAACCTGCTGAGAAACCCTGGCCAAAAGTGGGGACTCCTCTTGGTTTTCTAATTAAGTTTTATTGCCTATAAAACTCACAGGGTTGAGGGCGCTTGTTTATGGTCTGAACCGCACTGCAACAGCGCTTCTTTGCATGAAAAATTCAGCCTCATTCTGTCGTATTTCTCAAAACCTTTTAACATTTGAGTTAGCATAATTTACATGTATGGCAGTGCGATATTTATACACTAACAAATTAGGTAACATGGATTAGTGACTAAATTTGAACTTTTTGTCAATAATAACCGAGAGGCCTTCCAGTAAAAGCCCATGACGCACTTATAGTTTAAGTGAGATCGGTGAGTATTTGAAATTACGCCGAAGTTTTTCTCCACACACATTTTGCTCATACATTAACACATTTAATAAACCGCTTAAAAACGTAATTATATATAAATATATATTTAAAAAATCCCTGACATTATTTTTCATTTTAACATGGTTTAATATGTTTTGTTGTGTAGTGAGTGTTTTGAGCTCATTGTTTCTGGCTAAAAACAGGAAAGTGAATGTTTGCTTTGAGGAAACATTGCGTAACAAGTTCTGTCTGAATTTTGCGGGGTGCGTCACCAAAGACGCCACAAATAAAACTGACGAGCTGCTGCTTCTGCTGAAAATAATTTCAAACGATGCTACTCGTGCGTTATTATAACTGAAGAGTGTGAATTAAAACTTTACAAGCTGGGATGTTGGGAGATCACTGGACTCCACACTTTTGGCATTAAGGCATAGACTAAACAAAGTGTTAGAACCCCCAGACCAGCAGGGGGCCCACAAGAGCACTTCGATTACATTCATCAATGGTCTATTTCAAAATTCTGTAGGTTTTTGAATATTGAAATGTAAAGAATGGCAATATTTATTTTGTAAAACCTCACAATTATGCAGGGAATACTGGTACGCTTTGGCAGTTGTGCTAATTGTCTCAATTTTAAATCCTCCGTTATGGAGCCAAATTGCATGAATGTTACAAATGAAAATAAATCAAAAATAAATAAATAATTATTGTCTTTAACTGCTTGTAAGCACCACCGATCTAACATGGCCCCTCCTTGCTGACTCTACTGAGTGTGTATTAAAAAGCTGGGCATGAAATCTACATACCTTTACGATTTACTCAGCACTGTTCATTTAGTAAATAACATGACATTTGATCAGTTAAACCGTGGGCACATGGAGTAAAGATGAAACTAGGGATGCTAATAAGTGGTGCTAATCTGGTGAGGTATGGGGCTCGACTGAAAATTCCTTCTTGTCAAACTAATTCCAACACCTTGATTCAATAAACAACAAGTTACCACCTGCATTTTATTTAAAGAACGACAATCTTCTAACCTGTCTGGACGACTTTGTTTTATTCAGCTGACATCATGGTCATCCTTAGGATAACAGGCAAACTTTATGGGGGAAACCAGATACAACACTCATCCCTCCCTCCATGTATCCACACACAGAGAAACTCGCGAGGGTCAGAGGTCAAACTGGCTCTCCTCTCCTCTTCCAGCTGGGAGGAACTCTTGCCAGGTCAGGAGGGGGTCAGGTTTTGAATGACTACACAGCTCATAAAAATGCAATGGCAGCTTAAGCAGGAAGTGAGGTCATGAGACGCTTGCAGCAACAGCCTTGGAAAATCAGGCTACAGGTCTGGTCAAAGAGCCTTTCGGTGTTCATGAAGGTTCTGTACTGGGTTAAACAAACCCAGTTTTGGTAGTGGTAATGATCAGTGATAATTAATTGATTTTGATGACCACCATGATGAAGTTGTTTCACATTCATCAGCAGCATAATAAGAAAAAAAAAAGTTTGGTATTACAAAACAACAGATTTATTGTTGTTTTTGTCAGTGTAAAAGACCCTCATGGCAGCTTAGAGGTCATTTTGGAGATTTAGACATCTTTCTTTAACCCCACTAATGGGGATATCTCTTTAAAGAAAAGTTCTTGTCCAAACAGAATGGCATGATATATTAAGCCATACCCTAAAACGAAGCTGTATGACTCTTTTCAAAGAAGAAAAACGACAAGGACAGTTTTTAAAAATGGTTTGAATTATTTATTTCATTCTAATGCTTAAATCATAAGTAATCGATTAATGCAATCACAGTTTTTGGTTTACGTAGTGTCTCAATCACATTCTTTCCTCTCTGATATGATCAGTGAGTTCTCCAGAAGGTATGTTTGTCTGCAGTATCCAGAAACCTTCTCAACGCCTGCAGCTACAGGAAAAGTAATCAACTCAGCATGACTGATCAGATCTTTCAGACACGTTTCTCAAGAAGACAAAGCTTTAAAGTTCAAGAGCTCAGCCTTCCCACCTAGACTGCGTGACTGTCAGAAGTAAGAAGACGACTTAAGTCAGGTGACGACTTTTAAATAAATGACAGTGTCATAAATAGTTTGGCAAAAGGCCTATTTCTTAAAATGTGCCAGTAGAAACATGTTAATCAGTGAAAGGCGAGTCTGCACTTGTGTTCAGCCCTTCTTTACTCTGAGACTCGTAAATAAAATCCAGAGCATCCAACTGCTTTAAAAATTCTCCTAATTAGAAAATACAGTCCACCTGTGCATTATTTAATCTCTGTACGAATACAATATCACTGCAAGAACCTCAGAGGGTAACATTAATGCAACTAAAATTCCAAACAAAAGGGTTTATCTGTCCTCTGGCTAGTCCAGCATCGGGTTGCGGGGGCAGCAGTTTAAGCAGAGAAGCCCAGATTTCCCTCTCTCCACACACTTGGGCCAACTCCTCCCAGGGGCTCCTAAGTCCAGATGAGAAACACAGTCCCCATAGCGTGTCACAGGTTTTCTTCTGATTTTCCTCCCACCACATCAACTGAGTCTTCTCAATATGGGGAATAAGCGGCTCTGGGCCCCTCTGGGAACAGTGAGCTTCTCACTGTATCTCTCAGGAAGAGTTCAGACATCCTGCAGAAAAAAGCTCATTTTAGCTGCTTACATCCACGATCTCGTTCTTTCAGTCACTAATCATCGCTTGTGACAATAGATTAGGATAGGAACATAGACCGAACAATAAATCCAGAGTTTCACCTTTTGGTTCAGCTCTGACTGCCAATCTGCATATTTATGCTGCAAAGAGCATTAACCATTTGTGACCAAGAACCCCAGATACTTAAACTCCTCCACTTGGGTAAGAATCTTGTCCCTGACCCAGACCTCAACCCTTTTCCAGCTCAAGAACATGGTTTCTGATTTGACGGTGCTCATTTTAAAGCTGACCACTTCACATTTGGCTGAGAACTGATTTACAAAAAAACTGGAGATGATGGTCTGATGAAGCAAACAGAACCACTGGCCAGGGAGAGCATTAATCAGTGAATCAGAACAGAGGCTAATGGCACAGCCGGCCCACGGCTCCTAACACCACCAGGGGGCTCGCAAGAGCATCATTTGATTTTATTTTGTAGTGGTAGATTGCACATTTTACACTGTCTACACTTTCTGTTTCAAATTTTAAAAACAAAAGATATTAATCTTGCTAACTTGTTTACTGTAAATTCAATTTTTGAATTTACAAACATTAAATTAATATGCCACACTTATTTACAACACAGTAAATACTATTCTCCATTTCAAAAAGCAAATTTATTAGAGCATCTTTGCTTGTTTAATACTCCTGTGAGATTAGAACCAAGAACCATAATAGCGCCGGTATGATGCACACAGCAAAACATATAAATTTTACCAAGTATTTTTGATCTAGTTTCTAGTGTAAAGGTCTTAGTACACTTAAAGTAACACAAAACTAACTTTAATGTAGCTTTTCAGCAACATATAGGAGCTTGTTTAAGTCAATAATTCCTTAATATTGATTAATATTCCTAAGTACAAGTCCGTACAAATACAAACAAGCTCCTACATCATGCTAAAGGTTGCTTGTAAGCTAATTTTATCTTATTTCAAGAGTAATAAGATATTTCTCTTGAAACTAGACTAAAATACTTGGTAGAATTTTGTGCTTTTGTGGTATGAGCTAATATTATTAGGCATTGTACACACATAGTATAGCCTAGAAATGATGAAGTATGTAATTTTGATATATTAAAGCACCACAAGGTAAACTCTGCTTAGGGCCCCAGAAAAGCTTGGCCCGGCCCTGGTCCATGGAAACACTGGAGGAGCTGCAGAGATCCACTGGTCAGGTAGAAAAACTGACATGACAGCTGGTCATTCGGACACTTTGCAAATCAGGCCTGGTTTGCAGGTTACGGCAAGCCATGTAGGACATATGGCAACTGCAACATATATTATGTATATGGATATTTATTTAGAGGATTACTTATGAGTTGGTTAAACACAGAAGGAGATGAAGAAGATATAAGGTAGATGAAAATGAAATAAAACTTTTGGACCTATTGATCGTCTGTCTGTCTGTCTATCTCTATCCTTCCGTATCATAGCCCACTTCTTAACTCTTACATTATAATGATTGAGCGCTTCAGTAATTCTCTTTGCAGCTATTAATGACCCCTGTTTAGATTTACAGCGCTGACATATTCATAAACTGCAAACATCTTACATCAGTGTTAAAAACTAATAATTAAAAAATTTAACCCACGGGCGTAGTAATGTGTCCATTAAGTTAGAGGCAGCGAAGACAGTTATTTAGTGCAATAGTTATGTGACGTTGAATCGATCAAAAAATATGATTTCCTGACTTTATTATCGTTTAAAGAGGCGGCGGACCATTAAAGCATCAGCTCCGTGTCTGCAGAACAATACACTGACAGGCAGAGACCAATAAATGTCAGCGTGGCTCCTCCTGAGCAAACGTCATGCGGCTCTTCGCTGTTGATCCCCATGCGGAACCGAGTGGTCACTTTTAGAAATAATTGACAAACAGGCTTCCGTGTGAGAGACAGAGCTGCTGCTTCCGTGTACTGTTAAGTTCCTCTCTTGGCGGAAGGTCCACCGAGCTCCAGCTGTCGCTCCTCGCTACGATGCGCGCGATTCCCGACGAGTTAACGACGCTGATTTCAGGTGAGCTCATCGATCAGTGATTGATTGTTTGTCAGTGTTCTTTCCTCGCGTGATTTTTTTTTCTTCTTTCACTAGACTTAGGGAAAGCAGCCTGAGAAAAGAGGAACCATCCACTCACAATGAGTGATGTTCTTTCGTTATATCAATTCCTGTCAAACCTAGCTCAGCGGCAAATATGTCGCTGCTTAAGCTTGATTAATAAACACTGCTCTCACCTGGTGACCCTGACAGTCAGCTATAGTTCAGACATCCGGTTTGACGCCTTTGTGGTCTGCGGCACCATCAGCTGCACACGAATAAAGTAAGGATGTTTAAAGCTGCCTGTCAGGTATTTCTCTAAAATCAACCAAAAACAGCTTTAGACATGACCTAGCACTTATTGAACAACTCACCATTGTCAGCTTTTCTATTTTGTGATAAATTGCAATGATGCACTAATCAAGAGGAAATACCTTTGAAAAGTAAACTTTATTTGAGGCATTCCTCTGGTGACATCACAACAGACTGATGACAATTGAGATTCAATGTCCTGATATTTAAAGTTAGGTTAATCAAAGGAGACACCTGACTAGCATGTTATGAAACCAACATTCGAATGGCCAGAACTCATTTTTGGGGCATGTGAAACCTCATTATGAATCAAATTATTAAAGGGTTAAAATCAGGAGAAAAGCTATATGTTAAATCAAGACAGAGATAAACTTGCTTCATGCACTAACAATAATTTACAGAGTAACCAATGGAGACAGTAATTGCCAGGAAGAAAGACTTAAAATGAATCCTTAATCTCAGCCATCCGTGCAGCTTTATTCAGCCGTCTCAGAATCTTCATCATCATCTGTCTAAAGTCGCCCATCCTCCAGATTATCAACAGCAACTGATCAGCTCCATTCCTCCTGTAATGTCACAGATTTTGCTTTTCATTAGTACACATTTTCATGACTTTTCTCTGGAAATCTGTACTTCATTACTAAGTCCTGTGATTATTATTTTTTTATTATTGTCAAGGTCTATTTGCTGTGAGGGAAAGAAGTGCACCGCTGAGCTGTACCTTCAAATGTTTCCTCTGCTACTTTATTTAGATTTGGAACAGTTCCTCTGTGATGGACTAAAAGCAGAAAGTTTAAGCAAGAAGGCAAAAGAGAGGCGGGAAACCTTTATCAAACGGATCAAGGAGGTCAAACTAAGGTATTGCCGCATGAACTGTGCATTAAACATTTCCTGTGATCACAAAGGTGCCACTAAGTCATCAAATACTTTATCGCTAATGCATGTTTTAAACTAGTAATGTCAATTTATTGTCTTATCTATAGTTTCCCTCAAGATTTCAAAGACAAAGGTGAGTGTTTGTCTTTATCATCTTATTCTTTTTTCCCCTTCCTCTTTTTGAGCAATGTTGCAGATCTGGAACTGCAAAAAATAGAATTTTGGTTTTGATTCACCAATGCTTAACCATTTTGTCTATTTGACACTTGTCGAAGTAGCTTGGAAAAGGAGAACCGTCGGTAGATGAACATAACCAAATCACACAATGCCTCACAGCTCATATTTACTCCAGTAGGTGGAGATGATTCAGATGAGGATGAGGAAGTTGACAGCAACAACGATGGAGGCTCTATGCATTCAGAGCGGACGGACAAGGACGAAGAAGCCGGCGAAGGTAATTAACTGAACGAGCCGTGGAAAAACGTCAGGAAATTCACAAATCTGTGTGTATCCCTCGGAGAAAGTGACTCTGAGTGACGCCGTGAGGGAGGAGGCATTCCAACTGTAACTCGGCAACGTACTTGGGGAAAGCAATTCAGAGGAACAACTGCTGCCCCTCGCCACCTCCCTTTCGCCTCCCACCCCTTCACCGCCCCCTCTTCAGCAGCTAGAGTGTGTTTTACTGCTCTCAGCCATAGTCGGGGGACTAAAAATTACTGCCATGGCTGAAGTTTGTGCAAAAACATCCCCTCCAGTTTTCAAGCACTCTAATCCAGCATGCTTCTCGAAGGGAATCAATGCAATATTTCATACTTGCTGTTTAGAGGAAAGTACAAGGGAATTCCTTGTGGGATGGTGATTAAGGGACTGTGGGGGTTTATGGGCCTTAAGCAGCTGCCACTTTTATGGCTTCTCTTTCACACAAAGCAACTTTGACACAGCAATTAGACATTTGCATTGAAGTTGCACTGTACAAGGCAGGCCTTGTATACTCAGAAATATAGGTGAGTGGAGCATTTATGGGTTCTGCTGTTAATTATTGTCAAATAAACAAATGCCCCATGGCTACGTTCCCCTAAAACTATTGTTGACACACTTATGAAAACGTAGAAACACCTTTTTCATTTTAACATTTCAAAAGGATGCGTTTGATTTGATACATTGCGTTGATCTTGGTCCTCTACAGGTGTGCAGCAGGCCCCGCCCGTTGCAGCCCAGGACTTGACGTCTGTCTTCAAAGCAGGATATCTGGAGAAACGCAGGAAAGGTCGGTGCTCTAATAACTACAGATAAATAAATGAAATCTAGAGCAGACTCTGTTTGTCTGGACAATAAAGTGCAGTCGGCTTTGCAGAAATATTAAGTCCCTGACCTTTCTCACTTTTTGTCAAATTACAGCCAAACATGTCAATATGTTTTATCAGGATTTTATGTGACAAGTCAGCGTTTTGGCGCATAATTGTGAATTGGCTGGACTCCCTGAGTCAGTACTTTGTGGAACTCCTTTTTGTCTGTCAGGTTTTTTTTTTTTGTTTTGTTTTGTTTTTGTTTTTTGTATATGTTTCTACAAACTTTACATATCCATAGATTCTTTTTTTAAAACTATTCTTCATTGCAACATAGCTTATGTTCAGTCAGATTTGATTGGAAGCATTTGTGATCAATAATTTTGAAGTCTCGCCACAGACTCTCATTTGGTTAAAGGTCTTGACTTTTACTGGGACATTCCAACACATGAATGTGCTTTGCTCTAAACCATTATCCAAGTCTCAGGAACTTTGCAGCCTCTAATAGGCTTTCATTGAGGATTGCACTGCATATATCACAATCAGTTCATCGCTTATGAAACGTGCAAAAGATTGTGACTGCAACATGAACAAGTGTAAAAAACAAAAAGCCCCAAAAAGTTGAAACCTTTGCATAACAGACATGTATGATCTGTGAAAGTAAAGTGTAGTGTTTGGTCTCCTGTTAAACCTTTTGCAAAGAAAAATCTGTTCATAAAGAAGTTTGCATGTATACAATATATATATTGTATACATATGATGTATTCTAAAATATATTTGTAAACTCTGAATATTGTACATAATGATCCTACTGTAAACTGTAGTATGAAAACAATGTCGCATGCAAACCACTGAAACGGTCAACTAAAATGTTGTTACTTTCATGCAAATCGTCTTTCTCTGCACAGATCACAGCTTTTTTGGCACCGAATGGCAGAAGAGATGGTGTGCTTTGAGCCATCACACCTTCTACTATTATGGCAGTGAGAAAGGTACAGTTTGTCCGTCAAGAGATTTTTGTATTATTATTAATTTTTTAATTATGTCTGCATTATGTTGACCATTTATAATGGTACTTTTATCTTCTGCAACAAGACAAGCAGCAGAAAGGCGAGTTCGGCATTGATGGCTACAACGTCAAAATGAACAACACCTTACGGAAAGACTCAAAGAAGGACTGCTGCTTTGAAATTTCTGCTCCAGACAAGCGAGTCTATCAGGTTCGCTTCTCTCACTGATACTAAAAAAAAAAAGAAAAAAGTAATATTTACTCATATCAGTCATTTTACTCTCAACTCAAAATGCATATTTGAAATGTGTTCCTGATGTTCATGCCGCTCCATGCAGAACATTTTCTCATGCATAGATGCATTACCACTAATTAACACATGCAGGCCTGAGTGTTGTTTTAATTTTGTTCTGTGTTCGGTTTCAGTTTTGTGCATCATCAACGAAGGAGGCAGAGGAATGGGTGAAACAAATAGACTTTGTGTTGAGAGGTATGAGGGCTTCCACACGTTTACTATATTTGTTATAGTGGTTCTCCCAGCTTCACCCCAGTAAATAAGAGATTCCGAATACCAACACAGTAATGGACATCTTAAAACTGTGATAATGGATTGATTTGGAAGTTTTATTTAAAATGTTTTTTTTTAATCTTTTCTATGTGTTGTGTATTTCATTTTAAATGTAGGTAGCCATTTTTAAATTAAAAACTGGTTAACTCCAAGTTGAAGATAATTAACTTTCTTATCAACCCTGTCCTTAAAGATATTATGGCTGCTGCCTGTTGAAAATACACTGGTCAACTTGAGGACTTTGTCACCATATTTAAAAAGCTTTTAGACCTCTTCAATTACTATTTCAGAGAAGTGATAAATCTAGCTTCTGTTGAAGAATAAATTGTGTTGCAATGGAATCTACTCCCATCCCAAATCTATCAGAAAAATGAAACTAAATAGCAACATATACACTAAAATGACAAAAATAAGAGTTATTTTGTAATTCTAAACATGCTTAGGGTGTCTCTTACTTCTGCTATATTGTTCAGTCCTACTGGAATATCCATGACAATTGCATACCATTTGTCAATTATGCAATTTAGGTAAATTAGGTGATCTTAATAAGAATGCTTATAGCTATTTTTCTTAGCGGAGTTGGTAACGGCGTTGAGATGCTACTGAATTAGAGTTTGTAGTTGCATCTCTCATGGTTAGTTTCTCATTAAATCTGTCCTGCACACAGCACGGTGTGTTAGTGAATGGGTGCCTGAAATGCTAAGAAATCCAGTCCTGTTGTTGCTGCTAACATCGTTTAGCTTGTTATTGCACATATACCGCTAGTTTTCATCTTTCAACTTCAATGTTGTCATATTCGCATTCCAGCTTCAGAGACACTTATGAAAACATAGAACTAAAAACAAAAGTGAATTGATTTTGGTTCACTTTTGTCCACTTCTCTTTATGTTGCTGTTTACCTTGTAAAGGGTTTGTACCAACATTTCCTCTGAATGGCACTTAAAGGCGAACCACATAGTTCCAGTGATAACTTTCACCGCAGTTGGGGAGTCTTGGTTCTGTTTCATCAGTAGTATCATTTTCATTTCTTTAGAACTAAACGTTCACCAAAGAACGTGAAATCTTATGTGCTTTTTGAAAATAAATAAACATGAGATAAATATTCTGTTGAACTTTACATTATTATTTTTTGTTGTTGTTGTTGTTTTATTAGATATGTCTGGCATCATTCCTGAAGAAGATGACGACGAACAGTTCATGTATGACGACGTTGGAACTGCTCCTGCTT